GGCGTAGTGCGCCTGCGCGGGGGCCCCCGTGTGGCGCTGCGCGAGGCGCGGGCAAGGGAAGGGAAAAGGGAAGGGGAGGGGGGGGAGAGCGAGCGAGCGCGGCCGGGCCGGCGGAGCAGCGGGAGCGCGGGAGGGGGGGAGGAGGAGAAAGAGGAGGAGGCGGAGGAGGTGGCGGCGGCGGCGGCGGCGGGGGCGCCGCGCTGCCGCTGCCGGAGGAGGAGCAGGAGGAGGCAGCGGGAGCGAGCGAGCGGGCGGCGCGGCGGGGGGAGCCGGCGAGGAAGCGCAGACGCGGCGGAGAGCGAGCCCGGCGCCCGGCAGCCGGCCCGGCGGGCAGAGGGCCCCCCCGGCGGGGATGGTGCGGTCCGGCGGCCGGTGGCGCTGAGGGCAGCCGGGCCCCGCGGCGGAAGGGGCGGAGGGCGAGGCGGAGGCGGCGGCGGCCGGCGAGCGGCGGCCGGCGGCGCGGCGCGGGGGCAGGCGGCGGCCGGGAGCCGGGGCACGGGCGGCGGGCTCGCCCCGCGCCGCGCAGCATGGTCCGGGAAACCAGGCACCTCTGGGTGGGCAACCTGCCGGAGAACGTGCGCGAGGAGAAGATCATCGAGCACTTCAAGCGGTGAGTGGCTGGCGGAGAGGGGGACCCATCCTGCCCGACCCGCGGTGTGGGGAAAAACGAGGGGAAAAACGTGGGAAACGCGGGGAGGAGTGCGCGGGGACGGCGGTTCCCGTGGAGAGGAGGAGGAAAACAGCGCTGTAAATAACGCGCGCAATGGCGGGAGCGGCCGCGCGGCCGAAGCGGGGAAATACAAAAATGGCTAAAAATGGACCCGAAAGGACGGAGCAGCAGCGAGTTGGGCTCGGCAGTCGGCACGGAGCGGATCTCATGCCGAGGATGTTGGGAGACAGCGATGAGCCTCTGAACCTGGCCGGCTTGTTTTTAATTTTTTTTTTTTTTAATTTATTCAATGCTCGGACTTTTTTGTGTTCATTTTCGCTCGTTTCACTGCGTTTTCCTCCCACCTGGTGCCGTAGAGGATGCTGCGTGTTCCCCCGAGGTGCAGCGAGCGGTGGGAACCGAAGCGCCTGCAGCTGCGAAAACGTGACTCTGGGGAAAAAAAAAATCACACAAACCCACGGAGAAAACACGGGATCCTTCACGCGGGAAGCGCTCTGGACTCCTTATATCGTGCTGGGTTGTTTTTTCCATTTTCTATTTTTTTTTCTTTTTTTTTTTTTTTTTTGGTTGGTGCATGGGTTAATCCTGCTCATAAGGAAGTAGGAGCTGTTTGCATGGTTGTGTTTTTTTCCTCCTCCCTCCCTCTTTCCCTGCGAGGAGGAGGAGGAAGAGGCTTTTCCCCCGCCGCCTCAGCATCACCTTTTTCCTGTGGAAATGCTCTCAAGTTGATGCACCCCACGCTGGAAGCTGTTTCTTGGGGAGAAAAAGAGTAACGAGCCCTGCTCAGCTCATGGCCCCTTCAGGCGCTTTGCTTTAATCCTACCACCAGCAGAAAAAAAATGGATTTTGAAGCTTCCTTTAATCTTCCTGTGCTGGAAGATGACGGACCGTCCTTAATAATGAATCACCATGGGAAAAATAGACGTGGTGACACCGAGGGGAGAAAAGGAATGTCCTAGCACCTCTTCCCTGGTTTCTGGTCTTGTGTTGTGGAAGGACTGGGGGTCTTGCATCCCCCTCCATCCTCCTGGCCTGAGCTGCTGCAGCAGCTAAACTCCGTCTCCGCATCCTCATCGTTCTGAAATTGCCCTGTTTTAATGAAACTACACCTTTTTTCACCTTTATTATCCCYCTAAGCCCGGAATTCGCCGCTTGGTCGGTGCCTGCGGGCGGGATGATGGATGTGTATCCAGGGTGGTTTGTCGTGTCCCTCTGTCCCGGTTATGTGACGCAGTGCTATACAAAGCCACGTTTTGGGGGAAAAGACGCGCTCTAGGATTATTTGGTTAATTCCAGCCATAACTAGTTGAGAGAATAGGCGCTCCATAGTGGAAATCTAACATTCCTGGGTTTTATTTTGTCCAGTCCTCCTCCTTTTATAAGATGTATTAAAGCAGGGAAAAAGTTGCTATGGTACTGTTGCTTGGAGATGGATGGGAAAAATGGCAGGCGCTGAATTAATTACGTTTTTTTGATTGCTTTTACCTTGGCAAGTTGCAATCAGAGATTTGGGAAGGAGGTTTGTAGCCAGGAATTTCTCCCCGTTTTTCCAAAGTGATTTTTGCCCGGGATTTGTGTGTTTGGGTGAGGCTGATCTCACGCCAGTAAACAGAGTTAAAACACGCTTCAGCCCTTTGGCTGCAGGTACTAAAGTAGAGGGAGGGAATGGCACGCCGCCTCYGAATGCTGTGAGGGTGTAACCACTGGAATATTTGTGGCTGGAAAAGGGGTGAGGGGGTGAGTGTGGAGCCGGGTCCAGGCTCGGTGCGTAGGTGCTGTAGGTGGACAATGGAGCAAGGCTTCCTTTGTATGCCCGTGCTCGCCTGGGGGAAGGGACACGCGCTGTGCAAGGATCRCCCGGTGTGGTGGGTTTATCCACGGGGAAAGAAAGAAACCTCCGTTCGGCCGTGGAGGTTGGGATGGGGAAGGCTCCCTGCTTGGAAACGACGCTTTGGTTGGGATAGRAAGTCTTTTGGGATGGAGCGGGGCTTGGCAGAGCCCAGTTCCCACCCATCCCCCAGCCTGGGAATAGGGCGAAGCGCGTGCGGGGAGGCTGAGCCCTGGGAGTCATGGGAGCGGAGCCAGATTTGGGGGAAATAGCGCCTGAAATGGCAACTGGGCTGCGAGCGGGAATCACCTCATCCCCGGAGCCTCTCTGCAGCTCACCGGAGTGTTTGTTTTTCCGCTGTGCTTGGGAAATACTGGCCTTCCCAGATGGAAGCCCATTCGCAGGGCTGTTGCACAGTTCCTGCTGGGGGCGAGTTTAAGAAACAACCATCTTGTTTCCAAAGAAGCAAGAATGCAGGGAAAACTGCTAAAACTTACAACCTGGCAGGGATGTGAAGCGTTTGCTGCTTCTCCTCCTCTCTTCACATAACCACTGAGTGTGGGAACCTTGCTTAGCTCTGCAGTCTCACAGGGAATTATTTTCAGGGATGAATTGATAATTTTGAAGAAATTACATGTTTTTATTCTTTCCCCCAAGTGCTCCTGATTGGTTTGTTTAGTTTGGTTAGGTGAATGGAAGTAACAYTCCCTGCTATGAATTTGTCTTTCAATTTAGAGAATACTGAAGCTGGTCTCGAGAACCATTGGCTTACATGAACAGTGCTATTCTTTTTCTTAAAAGCCCTTTTAAAAATCTTATTTCCTTGATATTAAAGGGGATTGCAAAGGAGAGATTTTTTGTGCATTTAAATGCATTGAAATTGTTTTTGTCTTTCGGTTTCTTACCAAATACTCCCTTTTTAAAAACTAATGCCCTATATTTCCTTTCAACTGAGCTATTAAGGCACACTGTAATAGAATTGCAGCAGTGCCAGAATTGGAGATCTGCTGTTGAGATGGAATAAGTAGTGAATCCAAGTTAGGATTGGGAAGATGTGAGCTTGGGGAAATGATGGGAGCAATGGTTGGGGTTCACCTAATTAATGCTGGAAAAAAAAACAACCTGTCGTTCACCATCACTGAAACAGATGCTCGGCAGCTTGCAGAACAAGGCGACTAAATATAGTAACAGTTGTCCCCAGCACAAGTGCTGCCCTTCCATATTTTTTGTCCTCCCTGTGTTTTCTTCCAGTTACCTGAAAGAACATGGCTTTGTCCCTTTATTGGTGTTTTAAYGGGCAAAGAGGAGTAAAAGCCCCTTAATGATGGACCATGTGACTGTCGTGTGCAATCTCCTATGCTGGGGGAGAATTAAGACGTTCACAGAGGCAACCAAATCAGGGAGAAATGCTGGATTTCAGGAAACAAATGTTCTCCTTGAGAATCAACAGAAATACACTGCAGATCAGGGCAATCTTGGGGAAGATAAATAACTTTTGAGGGTTTGTTTGGGRTGGGAAATGGGCTTTGTGTGGCTTTGCCATGTTTCTGTGTCTGTCTCTCAGGAGATGCTTTGGATACTTCCTGGAGAAGTGGTTGGCATTTTAAACACAACTGCAAAAATCCTGCYGTAACAGCGAGTGCCTGTTTGTTTTCAGTAATTCCTAGAGAATATTTGGTCAGTTTGTGAGGAAATGTTTTGTCTTGATGGCTGGGAGTGTAAATTCAGCCTGGGAGACTGGAATCTGTGCCTTCTGCTCTGTGTCACTGCTGTGGACTGAGGTAGTTTAGGGGAATTTTGGTAGCTCTGGTGCAATCTGTGACCTGGAGGGAGCGGTGACGGTCACTGCTGGTGTGGAACACTCGGAGGAAAAACTTCCCACATCAGACACTGACAGATCYTACAGTGCCTTTCCATGGGAGCTGGTTTGAGTCAGAAGGAACCGTGTTTGTGGTTTTCTAAAAAAAAAAAAAAMCTCTTAAATGTGTTCCCTGGCTTTTTTTTGGTGATCACTAATTAATAAATCCTTGGCTATCACTTGGGATACAAACATAGGGATGGTTATCCTCACTCAGCTCAGCCTRTATAGATTTCTATCCAGGTGTATTTTTATTGTAGGAAAATACAGAAGTAAYGCCACAGAAGGAACTATTGCTGTTTCGTCTCTCGATCTTTGTCACATTAGGTATTTTCACCTGAGATGAGCTACTGCTCTTTCCAGCTCAGACCTTTGAAGGAGGGGGAGGGTACAATTTCTGCCTTTGCTTTMCTGGTGTCTGGAATGATGGGCAGCCTCAGAACTCATTTGTGCTGGTTTTACAAATGCTTTCAGTAATGTAATCCAGAGACCATGGGAGGRTGTTTGGTTGGGAGACTGGGGCAGGGGGATTAAAATGATTGCCCAGAATCAGAACGGGAGGAAAGGTTTGGAATTCACAAGGCAAATTCTGCCTCCTCGAGTCTGGTTTCAGTGAAAGTCAGCCTTGCTCTGGGTGTAGGTTTGTCAGTCGGATGCCTCATTTGGGCTATGGTGSTGCTGGTTCTGGTGGAGGTTTTCTATTAGATTAATGATTCTGTTCCTAATACTGATCCACAAACGCCCACAGCAGCACAGGCATCGCTCTGTGGCATCCTGGGCTGTTACCCCGTGGTGTCTGTCTGCAGCTGCTTCCCCCAGGCCGAGTCAGGGAGGGTGGCTCCTGAGCATCTGAGATCCATGGCTGSTCTGGATTCTGCTCTTTGCCTGCACTTGAGGTGGCAGCTGGTTGAYGCCGCATGGGCCAAGGAAATGGCTGGGTAATTATTTCAAAGAAACTTAATGAAAAGCCACGAAGAGTGTACATTTAGACTAAGCTTCTATTAAGTGGTTTAATAGGCTGGCTGAGCTGTGGTAGAAAGATAAGTTGATGTCACTTGGTCACAATATTCTGTCATTTGCTGAGCCTGGCTGGCATTGTTTCTTCTCTGAAGTTTCTTCAAAGGTCCAGGCTGTGTTTAGTTGTGATTATTTGTGATTTGATGTGAGCAGCTTCTGTTGTTGCTGAGCCGCTCAAGAGCATTGTTGGCTTTTGGTATTTCTTGCTCTTACTGTAAATTSCTTTGGTACAACAAT